ACTGGCTATTTAAAAGAACCTGTTGATGGAGAGAGTGCACAACAAGAATTATATCAGTCCTTATTAGGCTCTCTGATGTATTTGTCAACTTGGTCAAGACCAGACATAAGTAATGCTGTACATGTACTGTGTCAAAAGTGTAATAAACCTTGCCAAAAGGATTGGAACGCTGCAAAGCGAATCCTAAGGTATCTGAAGGGAACTTCAGCTAACAAGTTGGTACTGAAGGGTGACAAGTCACAACAGGTAGTAGCTTACAGTGATGCAAACTGGGGCACTGACCAAAATGCGAAGTCTACTACTGGTTATGTCATATTTGTAAATAATGCTTTAATCATGTGGAAGTCTGTAAAGCAGAATTTTGTCGCGACCAGTACGTGTGAATCAGAGTATTCAGCGTTGAATGATTGTGTAATACAGTTGGAATGGGTATTGCATGCAAACTGGGGCACTGACCAAAATGCGAAGTCTACTACTGGTTATGTCATATTTGTAAATAATGCTTTAATCATGTGGAAGTCTGTAAAGCAGAATTTTGTCGCGACCAGTACGTGTGAATCAGAGTATTCAGCGTTGAATGATTGTGTAATACAGTTGGAATGGGTATTGCAACTGCTAAAAGATTTTGATATGCCATGTGATGTACCAATGGTCTTAATGTGCGACAATTTGGCTGCTGAGCAATTGGCAGGTTCACAGGGCATAAAGCCCAGGTCAAGGCACATTAATGTCCGATACCAAAATGTCAGGGACATGGTGAAAAAGAAGGTTGTGACCCTGAAGCATTGTAAAACAACTGATAATGTTGCAGACATCTTTACAAAGAGTCTGGATGATGTAAAGTTCCAAAACTGTAAAAAAATGTTGAATTTGGTCTAGGCAATGTATATTATGGGGGAGTGTTGAACTGTTAATATACATACCTAGAGGAACTGTCAGATCTGTATGATCTAAGTGACAGCAGCAGGACTGCTGGAAACCTGTCCTGGGCGGTTCTGACCAGATAAGTGGTGTGAGGCCAGTGATGTGACATCAGCTCATTGCTGATTGGTTGTAAATATGTATAAAGGTAGTCAAGTGCTGGACTAAGTATTCCTTTTGTGAATCACGGCGTATGGCGAAGCACTTTGACGGAGCGTTGTATATTATGTGAATAAATTGTATATAGTTCACCACAAAGAACTGTGTTGCGTGGTACTATATGCTGGATGTGCTGCTGACTGCTGGAGAGTGGCTGGAAAGGTTGGTGAGGCTGAAAGAGTCCTGGCAGCTGGCTGCTACTTGCTACTGGCATCAGGCCGCCACATGCGTACCGCGCAACAGTGTCAACTAGCCATGCAGGAGGTAAAATATTTGGGACATGTGCTAGGAGGAGATAAGATCACAGCAGACTGGGGAAAGGTGCAAGTTATCCAAGAGTGGTCCAGACCCCAAACCAAGGAACAAATTAGAGCATTTTTTAGGAGTTGTGGGATATTATGGGAGATTTATCCCTGAGTTTAGCACAATTGCCGCACCTTTATGTGAGTGTATGAAAAAGAAACACCCTGATTTAGTGATATGAACTGAAGAATGCCAAAAGGCATTTGAACATCTAAAAACAGTGCTAACAAGTGAACCAGTGTTACGCGCTCCTGACTTTACCAAAGCTTTCACACTATTCACTAATGCATCTAATGTCGGAATAGGTGCAATGCTAAGTCAGTGCGGAGAGGAGGGACAGCATCATCCCATCCTATATTTAGGTAGAAAGCTATTGGAACAAGAACAACACCTCTCTGTTATTGAGAGAGAATGTATAGCAGTTGTGTGGGCCATAGGTAAACTGAAATCATACCTATGGGGGAGAAAGTTTACATTGTGTACAGACCACTCCCCACTGAAATGGTTAAACCAAGTTAAGAGCACAAATAGCAAACTAATAAGATGGTGTTTGCAGCTCCAGGATTACAATTTTGACATTCAGTACATACCAGGGAAACAGAATGTAATCGCTGATGCACTATCTAGAACTATGTAAAAGCAAAATGGTAATGAACATATGAGCATAAGAATGTTTCTGAAAAATGTTTTGTATTTTGTTATTGCTGAATTTCTTTATTGATGTGTGTAAACAAGTATAAACCTGGTAGAAAAATGTGTATAGTGGATAAGATGAGATTATAATGTTATGAAACAAAGTAAGCTGCAGTGGCTCAAGTGGTTAAGAAGCTGAACTGCAGGCTGTGGAAGGTCAGTAGTTCAGCAGTTCGAGACCCGGGTGCCGCATGATGGAGTGAGCTCCCATCTCTAGTTCCAACTCCTGCCAACCAAGCAGTTCGAAAGCAAGAAATTGCAAGTAGATAAATAGGTACCACTTCGGTGGGAAGGTAACAGCGTTCCGTGCGCCTTGGTGTTTAGTCATGCTGGCCACATGACCACGGAAACGTCTTTGGACAGCGCTGGCTCTTCGGCTTTGAAACGGAGATAAGCACCACAACCCTAGAGTCGGATTCGACTGGCTTTCGAGCAAGGGAACCTTTACCTTTACCTTAAGATACTTCACATGTACCCATTGCTCAGCAAAAGGCTAAAACCTTTCTCCTTACGCAGTTATTCAGGAGGGAGGGACATGTGATAGAATTAAAGATTTGAGAATAGCAGCAGGTAAACAAAGGAGCTGCTGACTCATGTGATTGAGAGTGGTGGGGGCCAGTTGGCTCAGAACTCTCAGTGAGTGACAGATAACTGTGAACAGCTGACAGTTAAGAGCTGACAGTTGGGCAGAGTCAGTTGGAAGAAAGTTAGCAGTCGGCTAACTGGAGAGCTCTGAAGAGGACATAAGGGGAAAGTGGAAAAATCAAAACAGACACTTTTGAGTTGA